TCCCTGACAATTTTTAATGTACTAACTGCCTGGTCCAGTGAGCTGATTAATTGGTGCTGGAGCGATCAATAAAAAACAGAAAATTAAAACAATTTTAAAGTGATTAAGTAGTTTAACACCTGTCTCCCGTCACGTCAGCGCAGGAAGAAAAATAAAGCAGGTGTCGAAGGGGCCTCCTGAAGCAAGAGAAAACAGCTCCTGTCTCAGAGATGACAAATCACAGCTGGCAGGTCAATCTGCTGCAGCAAGCCTTCTCGGGACCCAGGATGGAGCGTCAGGCCCAAGGAGCAGGGCTGAGCAGGAGGGCCCATGCCTCTGGTTGCCTCCAGCCGCCACCTGCTGCTCAAGGAAGAGTCAGACCCTAGGCTAGGCCCTGCGATGGGATGCAGGGCTTGGGAGCCCAAGGACACCTTTCACTGAAGCTCATGGGACCAAGTGGGAAGGTCGTAGGTGCGGTTCTAGCCCATTCCAGCCATTCTGACCTGCATCGGTGATCCAGGAAGCCGCTCGAATGTACTTCAAATGTGGCCACAGGCCCATGGAATCAAGGGAAGAAGAAATGGTCCCAGCTATGCCTAGGATTACCAGACCCTCTTTTCTAGAAGCATGTCTCCCCCCTTCCTACCAAGGGAGATTCCCAATCTCTGCTATTCCCTTGGTCTCCTGGAATCAACAGGTGGTGGGGTACCTGGTGGGCAATGTCCTCTGTGATGCCATCTTTGTCCCAGCTTCAGCTAGAACAGGAACTTCTGGCATGCCACTCTCCTCCCAATGGCTTTTGGCCTCACGGGAGGTCATCTTGGGAGCAGAGGAGGCTGCCTCCAAGACAACTCTTTGCCCCTCTTCTCCACCAAAGACCTCCCTGAATGGAATGGCTGAATCTGGGTAGAAGTGAGGTGAATCAACAAAGGTTAGGAAGTTTTTCCACCTCGACTGAGATGGGTGTGGTGGCACACACCTGTGATCTTATGCTCAGGAGGCCGAGCAGAAGTGTAACAGGTTCAAGGCCAAGCCTGCACTGTTGTAAAATAAAATAATAACAAACTTGGATTTTGTACATGAAAATCCGAGTCACTCATGCTCTAGAAAGCTGTATTCATGTTTCCTTTGGATTCCCAGGCCTGGAACAGCACTCCATGACATTGGGACTGGGGCTGGGGTACAGGCTTCCTTTTAAGTCCTTAGGAGTCAGGCTCCCCTACCAACCTCCCGCATCTACGGAAAGAAGCATACTCCAGACGGTACTATGATAATACTCGCTTGCTGTTCACTTTTCAAGGTCCCCTGATGGCAGCTCTGCCCACCCTAGACCATTAGAGGAAGCTCCTTCTTCACAGCAACAGAGAAAGCCCAAAGAAGGTAAAAACATCAAAGGGCATCAGTGGGATTTTTTTTTTCCCTGATAGCATTTTACTATGTATTCCCCACAGGCCTCACATTCAAGCTGGCCTTGAATTGAGAGAACCACCTGCCTCTGCCTCCAGAGTTCTGGGGTTAAAGGTGTGCACACCTGGCACATGGACTTCTTCCCAAGTTCCTGCCCATCACTGCTCACCGCACTAGGTACTGACAGATAGCCATGAGTAGGATCGGGGAGAAGTGTCTCCAGCTGCTTTTTTAAAAGATTATTTAAGTATGTATGTGTGTCCTCAGAGGCCCTATAGCTGCAGTTAAAGGCAGCTTGTAAGCTGTTTGATGTCGGTGCTGGGAAATAACTGGGATCCTGGAGCAGCAAGCTCTTACCATTGAGGCACTTCTCCGGCCCCGGCTGTTCTGCCCATCCAGCCTTGTATTCCTTAACGTCCCCCTGGGTAGGGACTCTGACTGAGCAGCTCCACAGAGCAATTGGCCTGCAGCCAGGCTTAAAGTGTCAAAAATTTGTGCCAACGAAAAGCCCACAAAAAAAAAAAAAAAAAAAAAAAAAAAAAAAGATTTGCAATCTGTAGCTGTTGACTCTTAAATATAATCAACATCCACAGTCTCTAGCCATTCCCTGACCTGGATGTGGCTTTGTTAATATGGCTGGAGAGATAGCTAAAAGATCCTATAGTCTTCAGTCCATTTTAAGTATCTGCTCCAACAGGTGTTTGACCCAGTATCAACTTGACCCTGGGAAAGGTTGTTCAGTATGTGCCCCAGGGACCTGCCCAGGCCCCGGGGGTAGTCAGTAGTGCCACCCAGAGGTAGTCAAGCAGGGACTGCACTGCTCAGAGGCCAGCACAAGTTCCTGCTGGCCTGCTGTTGCTCCCGGCAGAGCTGGCAGAGCAAGCTCCACACTGACTGTGATAAAGTTTCCCTGGGCCCAAGTTCCAAACTCGGCTGTTTTGTTTCTGTTAAAATGCAATTGTTTTTCTCTGGGGTGTGCAGTGACTGCCCCGCGTCAGGAAGATGTATGAAAATCTCCACTTCAATTCAGCATCCCTTTTCTCCCAGACAAACATGGTCGGATTTTAATAAATCAAAGAGCTACAGTGTTTAATAAAAATTTATTGACTTACAAGTGATTATTTATCAAAAGACCATTAATAGCAGGTACTGAAATGATGTGTTACTGGGTGGTGCTGGGAGACTAATAGGAAATCAATGCTGCTGGCCGGACGGAATGCATATGAGAAGCCCACCCCCCTACAGAGAGCAAAATTTCACCAGCAAAATACACCAGACGCTAGTCCTGGTGCAGTGAAAAGTTCCTCCTTTTTATTTATTGTTTACAAATGAAATAATCAATACTTTTAATCTAGAGCAAAATTTATTAACTTTCCCATCGGAGAGAGACATATTGACTGGGGGAGAGGGGTGTGCGTGCGAGGAAAGATGGATGGCTGGATGGTCATCTCTTAGCCTGTCCAAGAGTCTGTGTGCATGAGATGGCATATCCCAGGCCACACAGGTTGGTGTAGCTGGAGAAACTGAGTCTGGCAACTAAGGTGCCTCACAGGTGGATGGCATCTGCGACCAACATGGGGCCAGCAGAAAACCCCACCCAGGTTGGTAAATTCTAGAAGGGAACAGCAGGGTTTACAGCCAGGTTTCCGCATGGCAGTCAGGTTGGTGGTGCCCAGACAAGTCTGTGGAGACCTGAAAGGCCCTTGCTGCTGCCTGGCCCAGCATCTCACACATCAAAGCTCTCTTTCATCTCTGAAGGGTACCAAAAGGGAGCCGTTCTCAGTGTAAACTAGCTCCATCAAGCTTTGCTCACGGCGCCCTGGCCAGGCTGGCATCCTTCTACTGAGCTTCCTTTCTCTATCAGGGAAATTTTAGTATCAGGGGAGTTTCACCACCCTGACGAGAAAGCTCTTTAACTAGCTGGTAAAAAGTCATCATATCTGAGTGAAATCTGTCTGCGATCTGCAACTCCAACTACCCAGGAGGCTTGGGCCCAGCACAAATGTCCAGGGTACAAGGGCAGTGGTGATGTGGGCTTCTGTTTCAGAACCACACACTTTCAGGGTGCAGAGCTCACATCTGAGCAGTGGGTTTTAATGAAATTTGAGCTGGAGTAGGAGCTCAGTCAATAAAGCACTTGCACTGCAAGCATGAAGACCTGAGTTTGAACTCCTAGAACCAATGTTAAGAAACAAACAAACAAACAAGCAAAAGCTAGGAGGGTGGCTTCTACTGTTAATTGCAGTTTCAAACACAAGGCAAGTCCCAACTGTGGAATGGACAGCTCAGGCTGTCCTCTGGACTCCACACGCACCACCGCGCAAATGTACACATACAACCATGCACGTACACACTCACTCTCTCCCTCAGACAGTGAATACCTACTGAAGTTTCAGAGATAGATAAGGCATCAGAAGTCACCAAATTTAAGAAAATAAAGACAACACGGCAAAGGAGTATCAGGTTGACAAGTGGGATGGGCGTTCTCTGGTACTCAGGCTGCCCTTGGGACCCAGTTTCTAGCACGCTGGGGACTTTAGATGTAAGACCTGTGCCACTACGAGACCCTGCAGGACCCAGTTACAATGGTAAGCAGCCTGAGCGCCCGGGAAGACGCACGGAGTCCTCCTCCTTGGTCCCTGCGGCACCACAGGTGAGTGGGTCGGGAGCCAAGTAAAAACAAGACTAAACCTCTACATACATCATGAATCAAAGCCATAAACCACAGAAAGGCAAGTTTTAAAGGATACCCGGACCTAGACATTTTTAAAGGACAGCACTGAAATGCTACCATCATTCTATACAAGATAAAACCCACCTTTTATTTTTGAACATTTGTAAAATAGCTCCCAAGAGGCTGTTCTTAAAGTCATAGGCGTTTTTATTTGAAAAGTGTTTTCCACTGGGAATGGAGCAGGCAGGAGGAAATGGGAGGCTGAGGAGGTGACAGGAAGCGAGGGGTGACACCACGGGGTCCTCAAGCATCGGAGTGGCATCAGTTCATAGCCTCGGGAGGCAGGCTGCACTCCGAGAACGTCCTCAAATCCCAGACTTGGAGATGGGTATCTCTGTCACTTTGAAAAGTGCCATGACCGTGCCATGACGGAACAGTGGCACGTGGGTAAGCAGGGTAATCTTCCTGTGGAGGAATTCAAAGTGGTGGGCCTCAGAGGTAACGGCAGAGTGGCTGACTTGGGATCTGTCCTCAGGGACTGTAGGGCTTGCAGGCCTGTCATTGCCCCTCCAGCGCGGGGACTACACCCACCCTACCACCTCACTCAGCACTTCTTCCCAGCACCTCGGCTCCGTCCTTGCCCCTAATATTTCCCTCCATGCTCAAATCCAGAATGCCACTGACTGCAGATCGATCCCCTTTTCTGTTCCCCAAACCCATCAACACTCCCTGCTTCCCATGACTCTCATCTGGGAGAAAACTGTGTCTAAGCTGGAAACAATACAAAGACCTGAAAACACGCAGTGTCGAAGTTTCCCTGTTCTGAGCAATACTAATTCCTTCCATAGTAGTGTAGACCCTGCCGTCCAGGGTCTTCTCCAGGTGCCACAGTGTTACAGGAAGAAATACATTTCCCGAGAGTGAAGGCAAAGTCCCTAAATTCATTTACCATCCAGTTTTATTTACTCACAAAACAAGTTTAAAAATCCCGGGCAGCAGCTGTGAGCTCTGACCTTGTCCTGCCACTTTCTACAAAGCTGTCCCTGTGAGAGCAGCACACATTTCCTTCAATACAGTAGCACTGGGATCCCCACAACAACCCTGTGAGGTAGGCATCATCACCCTTTCTCTGCAATTCCATGTGACAAACAGGGAAACTGAGACATACTAAACAGACAAGTCACGTGAGGCATTCAGGCTCAGCCTGGAGTCTGAATCAAGACTCCTGGGGCTAGCCAGCTGCCCAGGGTCCCAGTGGTTTCTTCCTATCTCCTCTGATGATCTTCGTACGTAGAAACACAGGAACTTATGACTCCACTTGCTACCGAAATGAACATCCCGAAGACAGTTTCTTTTTGTCCCACCTCAAAGCCAAGGTTGGAGGCTGTTTAGGCACTCGCCTCAGCAGTGTCTTTTCTGACTTTCCCCAGCATGGATGTCCCTACACAGTAACACCCAGCATTCTGTCAGGGCAAGAACAGGACCACCTTCTCACCAGCTAGCACAGAACAGAGAGCTGTTTTAATGGCATTCCTCTTAGAGGCTTACTATAAAGGAACAAGAGGCATTCTGTCCCAGGGAGCCCCAGCCAGCAGCACTCTGGTTAGAGCAGAGCAGGCAGCCCATGGAGCCCTGAAGACTCTCGAGTCCTGGAGTCCAGAACAGCCTGAGGGCGAGTCTGGAAGGATGCAGCAGTGGGTGGCGGGGATGATGGTAGAGGCTGTGGCAGCAACAACTCCAGCTGGTTCACACATCAGGATTTAGAGGTGGCGGCTCCAGCCAGTGCAAGACAGAGGCTCAGGACCGGCTCCGGTCCTCATGGTTGCCAACAATCATCTTGCTATACAGTTTCTGCTGCTCCTCCTTGAATGTGTCCTTTACCTTTTCTCTCTTCAATCCACCGTCCCTGAAAAGACAAAGGCTTATATAGCGGCAGAGAGGGCAGTGGTCAGCAGAGCATTCTGTGGCTGATATCCCAGGAAACTCTGGCAGGAAGCATGAGCAGGCCCCTGTTGCCTCTCGTTTAACTACTGCAGATGCTAGGGTTTAATCCAGACCCATGGAACTAGTGCTCACATTCTGCCTCGCATCTGCTCTTGTAAAGAAGTTTCAATGGGACCCAACCACAGCTGCCTCTTTCTGTATTCTCTTTGGTTGCTTTCACACTACCATGGCACAAGTACGTAGTTGTAAACACAACAGTGTGTCATCTCCTGTTCTAGGAGACAGGAAGGTAACGTAGTGAGGGAGCTCCACATTCTTCCCTCTGAAGTCTCCAAGAGGCAGGTTGTCCCTACCTCAAGGCATAAATGGTTTGGAAGTCCCAGAAGACTAGGCAAAGGCCCACAGGCCATGTTCCTGAGGATGACACCTACAGGCTACAGCTGGGGTAAGGAGTCTGGCCATTCCTTCTGTAGGTCCAGCAGGTTTCATTTCTGTGCCCGGGGGAGAGGAAGCCCTTTGTCTCAGAGCTGCAAGGTTCTCTGGAATCAGCTCTACTCACCACAGAAGGTCTACCAATCCTCCCTGCCGAGCAATGGCAGACTTCACTCTGTTAGCAAACTGCACAGCATCTTCCTCTTTCTGTAACAAAGAATGAATGAGAACACTCCGCCCGACCCCTGGTCACAGCAGCACTTAAGACTTGCACTGGAGGACTGGGGACACCTACCTCTCTGGTCATAGGGGGCAGGTACCAGACACTGCAGACAATGGCCCAACTGGTCATCATTCTCAGCAAGTACGTCACCATCCCGTACTTACTGCTGTTCCAGAAGGCGTCACCAAACTGAGGGTCATACTACAGAAGGAGAGAAGGCTGGGTATAAGGAGCGAGCCTCTGATCATTGCTCGGTGATGGGCCCACAGGAACAGGAATCCAGCCCCATGCCATGCTAATGAGGCTCTAAACACATGGTATTCTGCCCTCCAGCCCTCCTCCTGGCTGCCTCCAGACTAAATTCAGACCACGAGGGCAGTCTTTCCAAACAGTCCCTGCCTCAGACAGCCCTGCACTCACACAGGCAAACATAAAGGTTTCAGACAACCTGAAAACACTGCAGGATAACACCCTATCAAACACTAATGTCCCAGGTTCAACAGCTAAGAAATTCTCCTGCGCTTGCTTCATGTACCCTTTCCTTTCTTATAAGGCCTATCTTCTTATGCACATATTGTATATCTAAACCAAGGCACCTGTATGTAATCACCCACTTTTTCATAAGACTTTCAAAAAAAAAAAAAAAATTGAGGCTCCAGAACAAGAAACACATACAAAGCTTATAATATTCTCTTAAGTATACTGTAAATATACTTAAGTATTGTAAATACAATTTACATATCTGCAATTCTAACAAAGTAAATTTCTGTTTTGGGCAGGAAACTCTGCTAATTTAATCACCAGTATACATTAGCAAATCGGTTCACACCCCCTACTCATGAGGTCTCAACAAGGCAGGTGTATTAGGTACTTGGGTTTCACTAATGACTTTAATAAAGGGAAAAGGCGGTTTCAAATGTGTTTTCTGAGAAACGTGACTGCAGCTATTGAACTATTTGACTACAGTAATCTCAGGAGTAGGAAAGCCTGGTGAGGGAAGGTATATGAGAAGTAACAGAAAAAGCTGGGGCATGAAGAAGCTGCCTGCGCATAAAGCATGAGCAGTTTCTACCACGCGTTTGAAGAGGTGGAGAAGGAAGTGCACTGACTGCAGAATCACAAAGCAAAGGATCAGCAAGGAGAATGCATACATGAAAGAATTTCAAGAGCGACTCCACAGGACTAGGTACCACCGCTGCTCTTCCTGTAGAATGATGGCTGTAGAGCACTCTTACGGAGATTCATGTGCTGGTGAATAGGGTTTCAACTGTCCAATCTTTTAGGCCTTCCTAGTCTAAGTTTGTGATTTCAGAATAAAAACTAAATAATTAATGTTGTTCAGTTTTATAGAAACAAAGACTTAATAAAAACTAAGAAATGTAATGCCTTAATGAATGCACCTTAAATACCACTAATAGGAGCTGAAGAGATGTTAAGAACACTGGTTGTTCTTCTAGAGGACCTGGATTCAATTCCCAACACCCATATGTTAGCTCACAGCCATCTGTAACTTTGGTTCCAGGGGTTCTGATACTCTCTTCTGGCTTTCTTGTACACCAGGCACAAAAACTGTGCACAGACACACACAGGAAAAACACCCATATGCATAAGATTTAAAAATAGCAATACTAGGGGCTGGAGAGATGGCTCCAAGGTTAAGAGCACAGGCTGCTCTTCCGGAGGACCTGGGTTCAATTCTCAGCACTCACATGGCAGATCACAACTGTGTGTAACTCCAGTTCCAGGGCATCCTACACTCACACACAGACATGCATGCAGGAAGAACAACAGTGCCGATAAAATAAAAATAAATTATTAAAAAAAAAGAAAATAGCAATAGTAATTTTTTAATACCAGTAAGAAACAAGGGAGAGTAAAAGTTTTAAACTAATCTGTGACATATAATTACAAAGACAGTGCAGATAGCCAAACATACTGGAGTACACCTGCCATCCCAGCTACTTGGAGAACAGATAAAAGGATGAGCTTGAGACCAGCCTGGGTAGCACAGGGAGACCTGACTCTTTTGTTATAAGTACATGAGTAGAGTTGTTTAAAGAATAAAAGATCACAGTGGCTGGCTCTTTGATCACCTCACCCTGGCAAGGTGTCCTAACTAGGCCACAGAGAAAGAAGATTCATGCAGTCCTGATGAGACCTGATAGGTTAGAGTCAGATAGTAGGAGAGGAGGGCTCCCCTATCAGTGGACTAGGAGAGGAACTTGGGGGAGGGGGGGTACCGGGAGGAGATGAGGGAGATTATAGCCAGGATACAAAGTGAAAAAATTTGTAATAAATAATAATAAAGAGTAAGAGATCAACTCCCCTGTTTAGGACTGAGTCTCTTTCTTTCTATGTGTCAGTCAGACACTTTACAGCAAAGAAAAGCAAAAGTTCAAAATTAACGTTCTCAAAACCAGATAGTGACTTAATTCTGGTAGAAATGTGGTAAAAGCATTGTCACTGCTAAGGCTACCCACGTTCAGATACTGACAGAACTTTCACAAAAAATAGAGACTATCTGTAGAAGTTTGTAATATGTGAACAGGATGAAAATTTACATGGTTTTTATTTTTCAGGAGTCCTAACTCTGTCAAGATTTCATGTTTCACAATGGATGAGAACCACAATTCATAGCAGAGGACCTACCAGTGTGTTCGCGTGACTGGTACCCTGAGTATCACCCAGGGTCATGATAAGATGCCACTCAGAATTTGGTCCGAGCCCTAGCAATCTGTTTAACCACCCCCAGGTGACGCTGTAGGAGCTAACACAGCGAGGGGAAAGACCGCTGGTCACAAAAAAAAGCTAATAAAGTACTTGTCCCTCATCCACCCACCTCCATTATGCTAGACTGCAGGATGGCATTGGTGGTGTGATGGCTTTTCTTGGTTACCAACTTGACACCTGTAAGTTACTAAAATCTAAAGGGCTGGGATACACCTGTGAGGGATTTTGTTTTTTCTTGATTGAATCATTTGAAATGGGAAGATCTACTCCTAATCTGGACCTTCTGAAGTGGGAAGATTCACCTTTAACCTGGGCACACCTTCTGCTGGCAGCCTATGGAAAGAACATGAAGAAGGAAGCGTGTTCTCTCTGTCTGCTTGCTTTCATTCTAACTGGCAAGTCCATTCCTTCACTGGCATTAGAGCCTACGTCTTCAGGATTCTGGCATATACTGAAGTCCAGCTAAGACATCAGCCTTGTGGACAGAACAACTACTAGATTCTTGGACTGCTGCTGGGAGACTGGCATTGTGAGACTACCTGGACCAATAACTCTAATAAAGATTCATCCTATCAGTCTGTTCCCCTAGAGAACCCTGACTACTACAGGTGAGACGTAGACTCCACGCTCCACTTTCTTAACAGACCCTGCTAAACACTCTCCCCTGGCATGTCATCCACCACTGATGGCTAGGACCAGGGCCTGTCCACTGGTGAGCCTGCAGCCAACCTTCAGTTACCAGTGGGCTTGGTGTTCTGCTTAGATGGTAGAAGGTGTTGTTCTTCCTGGCAAGCTGAAAACCAACTGGGACATCTCTACCACACTCTGCCGACAACAGACATGAAAAGGCAGGGGTTAAACTTGTTCAAAACTGCTGACCCTGCTCTAAGTGTCACCCTAGGTACACAAACATTACTGAAAACAGCCTACTTGGGGAGTGATACCACAAGGTCTAGATTCTTTCAGAAATAATACAGACCTGCACTAGGATATAAGGGGATGAGGGGATGGAGGGATACAGAGAAGCTGACTAGCTGAACCATCTCATGTCTCCAGGGAGGACAAGTTCCTTCCTGAAGGGCGGAAACAAGAGTGGAAAAGCTCCCAGGATCCAGTCCTCCATCACAGGGATGAGAAGACACCGAAACCCAAGGCAGTGGAGCGCATAGCAGCACGGTAGTATGACAAGGATCCATCCATTCCCTCCTCTCTGCCCAGTGTACCAGCCCAACTTACAACCCCTCCACTGCTCCTGGCAGCAAGTCACCTGTGCAATCAAAGTGCTCTACACTTCAATGACGTCTCTGAAGAACAAATAGTGAGGCTACAACTACAGAGCTTATCAAGTTTCTGTCTGATCAAGTTTCAAGCTGCTCTTCTGATCCATCCCACATCCCTGTGGATTCCACCTCTCTGCCCCCATGGTCTGGCAGTGCTGGCGGACAGAGAGGAGTAGCCCTAACTAGTTCAATCCCCACTTCCCACTTGTGCATTCCAGCTGGCATCAGAGGTCTCCCACCTTGATAGCAACAGGGTAAACAGTGGCTCCAATTTCAAAGCTTCCCTTTTTGAACATCATCACTGACGTGTTATTGATGCAGGTTCCTGAAACACACGAAAGAGTAAACACTTCCTTCCTGGATTTTTACTCAGAGTTTTTGTAGCACTACAAACATCCCTCAAATAGCACACACCTGTCATCACCCCAAATCATGAGTGGACACTAGGGAAGCTGGACAAATCAATATTTATTCCTTTTCTGTCTTGGGCTACTGTCCCAGCCTTAGGTAGCAGCAGGGATAGACTGAAGGAGTATCTACAAGAAGCTGGGTTGCTGCCTGTGTCACAGAAAGGACCCTGCACTGGTCAAGTTCACATTATCAAGGTCAGAACACTTCTGAATCTACCAAGTGTTTAGTCTCCCCAGATACTACCCAGTGCTTATGGGCTTGCCCCCCCAGGCACACCACTTTCCCACATTTAAGTCACTTTGTACCTTCTGGGAAGATGAGGATGGGCAGCTTGCTTTTATCTTGTACGTGCTCAGTTAATCTTTAAGATAAAGAAACAAAAAAAAAGAGCCATAACCTTATAGGTTGCAAATAGCAATATAAGCTTTTTTGTCTTGCAGTCAGTGTATCTTGGTGATGGACCATTTGCTTTTATTTATAATGCCCCACCCAGCACCACCCAAAACAAATAAGAAACTCCCCCAGGGAATGATGGTTCCTAATTTGTTTATTAGGAAGAATATAATGAAAACAGAACTTGCTAAATCATTTGAGTTTATTTACATACTTTTTACATGTCCTATATCGGGGGAAAACCAGAACTGAACATTTTGCTCACTTACCTCTTAGCCACCAGGTGGCGATCTTTCACCTCAGAACGTTCAAACCAGACATGGGGACAGGCTTTGACCATGGCTCTTTGAATCACACCCATGAGGCCCCCGTGTACCTGTCCCACCTAATCTCAGACAGAGAGAAAAAAATCTCACACAAATCTCCTCACTCTGGGAGGACCCTGATACCACAAAACACATACCCAAGCCTCTCAACCTGTTAATGTTTCATAATTTTAACTTTCTCACTATTAAGAAGCCACCCTTCAGACTCCTGATTCTGAATTCTCCCTTTGACCAGTAGTGCCAGAGGCTACTCCAGTGAAACAGAAAGCCAATAACTGTAAAGTGGACCTCTCAGGTAGTCTCAGTGCCTCTCACCTCAGTTTCTCAGTCTCCCCCTTTCCTGGAATCCCTTCAATCTAAGGACACAAGACAATTTCCAACCACAGCACCAATCACCCTACTCAGGAGAGCTTCTAGGGTGGCCAGTACTAGGGTAACTCTCTGCATGCAAAAGCATGTTTGCATATCTGAACCCCTAATCAAGGAAGCTTCCTGTGGAAGGTACAGAGATTACCTAGTCCTGATCAGATAACCAAAACAAGAGACTGCATACCATGGCATAGTAGCCATCACTGGCTAAGATGATCACATCAATGGGAGAGGTATGATTAGCCACACAGATGCCACCATTTCTTGGTCTGTTTTTCCTGAGTATAAAATATATACAAAGCAACAAAAACAGCATGAACAATTCATTTGAAATACACCTCTCACCTCACAAGCATCACCAGCTCAAGCCAAATGTTTCTATGAATGGACTCTCCCTCCATGCTAATATACATTCTCTCACCTGTTGTGGTAGGTGATGATGGCTGTGAGGGCTCGTACACAGATACGGTAGCACATTAAATGAACGTGTTTACTCAAAAACTCCTTAAACCTGCAACAACATGACAGCTGAGCAGTATAAAAACAGGACAAATTGCTGACTCCAATTATTTAACAGTGCACAGAGTACTTGTAGAAATATTAGTATACATGGTAAAAGGTGAAGATGTATCATTTAGCAACTTTCTATCTACACACAAGCAGAGAAACTTGATGACATTCACCTTTTAGTGGTCAAACAGTAAAAGCTTAGAATTCCCAGCACCAGCAGGCCAAGCTTTCTCAGATTCCCATCCCCCAGCCACCACCCACAGCAGGCACAACCTCACCACCAGCCTCAGCAAAACAGATGTCTATTGGGCCCAGAATTTCCCTAAGAGAGTAAAGTTTCATTAAGAAAGAGGGGTGGTGAGCAGAAAGAAAAATCTCCCACTCTAAGTCATTTGTCAACTTATGGAGCTAGCAGAACCATGCAATTAAACATTGTTTTTTTTGTTGTTGTTTTTGTTTTGTTTGTTTGTTTTTTAATTAAACATCTGAAGGACTGAGACCAGCTGTAATAGAGAACTTACCCAGTATACAGAGTCCTGGTCTTGATCCCCAGCAAAAACAAACGACATACTATAAAAATCTGTTACTACCTGAGCCTAGACTCCTTTATGGTAACTGCCCTTTTTACTCTAAAATGGGAAGAGAGTGAGGGCTGGGTTCCAAGAAGCCATTACAGCAGGCACCACTGTCACTCACTACGGGTTATTTTAATGACCTAAGACTCAAGGACTGTGTTGGCGACCAGAGCTGTTGCTGCCTCCAGCGTCAGCTACCATGCTCAGAGCAAGCTGCCGACATGTGCATTTATTGTACTCACCTCCCATTTGGCAGGTATCCAACCATAGTAGTGCCCACTACCAAGAGGCTAATCCCCGTGAATGCCAGAGCAATCCTGTAAGCAGACAAACAGTTATTCAGTGACTGTGTGACGACAAAGGAAAGAATCATCAAACACACAGAAGACCTGACGAGAGTTTCCCCTGGAAATGTGAGAAAGCACCTGTACTGAGAGATGACTGCAATTCCAAATAGACCGTGAACTGTGGGTGGGCTAATACTGTCTCTTCAGTTGCCACACCCAACACCTGTATGGTCTTGCTTTGGCTGGACACCCTAGCAAAAGCAAAACCTCTTTGTGAAGCAGGAGGTAGAATTGGACGATGCCAGCATCTGGCAAGACAAATTGAGAAGGACCCAGAGGAGCAGAGATCAATGCTGTTTCTGTGCCAGAGGCAGGTTTCAGGAAAGGCTAGGCCCAGGAAGGAGGGTCCAGGAAGCAGATGGTGTTCCCTGTCATGTGTTCGGTATCACCAACAAGCAAACGGTCTTTAAGAAAGCCTACTACTAGCCTCGTGTGTTACCTGGTTCACACCTTTAATCCCAAGGCTCAGGAGGCAGAGGCAGGTGGATCTCTTGAGTTCCAGGCGAGCCTAGTCTACATAGCCAGAGCTAAACAATGACACCCTATCTCAAAAAATAAATACAAAAGGAAGGAAGGAATCTAACCACTTCTGTCTGATATGTAAAGGATGTAAGGGGCCTGAAGGGATGGTGCTCCAGTGTGCCCTTCCAAGGGTAAAATGGACAAGCCAGGGGGGAAAAAATACTATCCTCCTTTATTTATTTATTTTTAATTTTTTATTTTTTTACATCAATTACATTTTATTTGCTTTGTGTCCCAGCTGTAGCCCCCTCCCTTATTCCCTCCCAATCCCACCCTCCTTTCTTCATCCCCTCCCACGCCCCTCTCTAAGTCCACTATCCTCCTTTATAAATGGAAAACAAGGCAGAGTGAGGTAGGTAAGCCATGCATAGAGGCAGAGCAGCCTACACGGCCTCCAAGGCCCAACCTCACCTGAGTGGCAGAAGGAAGCAATACCGAATCAGCACTCCTAACCCCCAGAGGATGGTAAGCCGCAGGCTTATATATTGGAAATTGTAATTGGTTCTGCTCAGCAAGTTCCAGGACTCCAACTCTTCTGCTGAGAATCTCTTTGTCACTTCGTCATCCATAATAGTCTCCATTCCTTTCCGGCAAAAGTAGAAGATGTCAGAGAGCTCAAACTCGGGTGTCTTATCCAAAGCCTTGTTACTACCACTTCGACGAATTTCTTTGATTTCTTCTTCCAGAGAAGTGGGATCTTTTGCAATGATTCCTGAAAAAAGCAAAAACAAAAATAAGACAATATCCCTAGACAAGCGGCACGCTACAAGGGAACACGTGTATGAAGACTGTTTCACAGTATGAAGGATCCATATACCATGGTTTGAATGTGGGCTGAATATGCTCTCCAGAGTTTCATGAGCAGAAAAAGGTGGCTGCAATTCAACAGTACTGAGAAGTGCTGGGTCTTTAAGTAGTGGATATACCATGCTCCAGTATGTAACCTTCCATTTAGGCTCATGTTTGCAACACTATGTAAACTAAGTGGGTCAGTTACATTCAAGGAAGGAACGCAGGAAGTACATTTAGGGAAAGGAGGGTTTCAGCAGAAAAAAGGGAGATGAGACAGGGAAATAGGGGATGAAAAGACTAAAATTCATTATATACTTGTAAGAAACTATCAAAAACCAAAACCCAACAAGTGTGATGGCAAATACCTTTAATCCCAACACTCCAGAGGCATAGGCAATCAAATCTCTGTGAGTCTGAGGCCAGCCTGGGCTGCATTTTCAAGCAAACAAATCTTGACAGATTTTAAGAGATTAGCTCATGAGATTAGGCCATGGGACTGATGTCCCTGAATAGAGAAGCACTGTCCTTGCTCTGAATGTGTGGGTTCTGCAGGGGTCATTCACGTCCACAACATCAGGATGGGGTTTTGGTGGATTTGTCTGTCTGAGATAAGGTCTCAGGAGTGGTGGCTGGCCTTGAACTATGAAGCTAATACCTTTGAATTCCTCATCCTCCTACTTCCATCTCCCAAGTGTAGGGAACACAGGCATTTGCCACTGTGCCCAGCTCTTTAATTCTAGTTGTTTAAAAACAAAAACAAAAACAAAAAAACAAGCCAGACTGGGCTGGAGAGATGGCTCAGTGGATAAGAATACTGTCTGTTCTTCCAGAGGTCGTAAGTTCAATTCTGAGCCATTTATCCTGGAATCTGATGCATCCTCTGGCATTTAGGTGTATATGCAGATAGAGCATTCATACATAAAAAAGCCTGACATCCTCCTACTCTCCTGGGCCCTTCCTTGCCCCTGGAACCAGCTCTTTCTTCTCTCTCTTCTTGCACCCTTGTGCCAGGTGGTGCCATCTGCCATGCTGCAATGTAGGCAAGGAGCCCTCATCAATGCTATTCTGCTTCTACTCAGGTTTTCTTTTCTTTGTGTCTGTGTGTGAGAGCCGAGAGACAGGGAGAGAGAAGAGGGAGATGGAGAGGGGGGAGAGAGAGGGAGAAAGAGAAAAGGAAGACAGAGAGAGAGGGAGAGAGAAGAGGGAGATGGATGGGGGGAGAGAGGGAGAAAGAGAAAAGACAGAGGGGGGAAGGGTAGAGAGGGAAGGAGAGAGAGAGAAAGATTGACTGTGTTACATGAGCATTCAAGCCACAGGCCCATGAAGCGTCTTCCTTTTATCCCTCACTACACACACTTTTACCATGGTCACAGTGAGCCTGAAGCCTGACAGCTGCTAGACTGGCAAGCCATTGAGCTCTGTAAATCTGCCTGTTGCCACCCACTAGCCCTGGGGTTTTATGAGGTATGTCACTGAACCAAGGTTGTACCTGGGTCTGGGAAATCCAATCCATGTAAATGCAGAATGAGCTTTTTATTCACTAATCCACCTGCCCAGCCCTTGCCTGAGTTTTCAATCTACCAGAAAGGTAAAAACCTTTTCTTCTGCGAAGTACCCTAAGGTATTTTGTTACAGCAAAAGTAAGTGTGGTTAAGACTCCACAAACAGCACCATTTAGGAGTATTATTTTGGAGGTTCTTTTAGAATAAGGGACCCAATCCTACCGTTGGTGTAGGGCTTGTAAAGCTGGTGGTTCTTCTCCTTGGCTCCTCTTTCCATTCTTAAGGTAGCCCACTGAGGAAAAAAAAAAAAAAAAAAAAAAAAAAAAAAAAAAAAATGGTAAAATGACAGCAAGAGTGAAAGGTTAAATTCTAGTTGCTTGACACCAGGTGGCAGCCAAGCAGCACACCTTCCAAACAGGGCTCACTGTTTTCACAGGGCTCTGACTTAACCAGGAATATATACGGCAGTGTGTGTTTCCCCTCAATAAAGAGCTAAAAAGTTAAGAAGCCATGACAAGATTTTCAGGGTGATTTTCTCATTGCCTAGATCTACCAACAGGCATTCAGGAACTGGCTAGTAAAACCTGTCTTCTTTAACTACTGCTTACCCCTGCAAGAATGCCTACCACATCACTTATTTATTTTTTGTGGGGTATGCGAGGGGTGGGGTGGGGTGGGGGAAGGAATAAGCCTGTGTGGAGGTCAGAGGGCAATTTGTGGGGAAATGATTGGTTCTCTCTCTTCCAGCATGTGAATTCTGGGGCTCAAATGAACAAAATATCTATGCATGTCCTGATGAAACTAGTGAACTCTAAGAACACAGAAGTAGATGGAACTGGTGATAAGCCAAAGGAACAAAGAGTCCGAGATGAAATCTAAAAGGCTCATCGCCAGGCTGTCCTTTTACTTCAGAGTTCTTCCTCCTCTCTGGTGACTTTAATGGACTTTCTGAGTCTGCACTCTTTCACCTGATCCCCTGACCAGTCAGAATACCCCACATACACTCAAATTAGTCAAGCAGGTTCATTCCACCTTGATTCCTAATTTATGTACTGATGTGGACAAACTGACCCTTTCCCAAGATATAAAAGAACATCTGAGCTAGAGTGCTACTTGGCAAGCTATTTTTGGGACCTCTCCCTGCTGTACCTGCTACTATACTTCTCAATAACCCCCTGCTTATTTACTCTCAATTCTGTTCTCTCCTTTTCAATAGTGAGACAATGAAATCAACAACTACAACCCAGGACACCAGTGACAACGGCTGTAGGTTACTGCATTCATTGGAAGAGCAACTCTTCATTGGGGCTCTCTCAGTTCTAGAACAGCTCAGTATTTGTTGTCCTTCCCCTTAGGCTTTCACAGAAAATGTGTCTATATTTAGAAAGGAAAAGTCCACAGACAGCAGTTAATGAAGAGATTCATAGCTGCCCAAAGCACAAAGGATAAAGACTGACTGGTGATCAGCCCTAAATGGGACATTGATCCATATCCTCAAGGTCACAGAGAACACTGCAGAAGAGACACTGGAAAAAGTAAGAAGTGCTATGAAGTGCTGTCTTCTGGACACAGCATTGCTGTTGCTTCCTTCATGAATTCACTGCAGATCTGGGCACTGAATAAGACCTACACAAGTTCAAGCCAGGTTCCATGTCAGCATGGATAAAAAAAAGGCTCATGAGACAACCCCCCCCCCCCCCCCCAACTGAGGAGCCATTGCAATCACTGTCTGCTGAGGAAGACCGGACTGTTCTTCAGGAATGTGGAAGGCAGGCCTTGCTCAAGTGAACAGCCCCACAGCCATGGGCATGCAAACCAAACGAGTCAGATTCAGTGGGGTTTGAAAAAGAAAAAGAGGTACAAGAAGAGCATGGGAGCGGGGAGTTTGGGGTGGATACAATCAAAATGCTTTGTATCATGCATGAAACCAAAGAATAAATAAAATATTTTAAAACAAGCCTCAACATTCTTCCTGTCACCTTACCTCCCAGGAATCATCTGTCTTCAAAACAAAACCTTTTCATTACTTTCATGTGAGGTGGGAATGACAACTCCTTCCCAGACAACAGACAACACTAGAAAGTTTTTCGATTAAACTTACGTGTAGGCACAAAGTTATTGAATAATGCTGATTTCTGTATCCCCATATCTGGGTGCAGGCCTATTTGAGATCTCCTGTTGCTCAATGTTGTATAAACTCTGCTCCCCAATGGCCCTCTGCTATGTCAATAAAGCAGCTTACAGCCAATCACTGAGCAGGGGAGAGAATAGGGCTAGACTTCCTGCCGGCCAGGGGAGGAGGAATTAGAGAAGAGGAAGTAGGGGGTGCGAGGGGGGAATTCAGCCACAGGAGAGTCCAGGTAAATCGAGGAGAGAGGAGCTGGAGCAGGAAAGCTACAAAATGCAAGTATCCTGGGATGTACACTGGAAGGAAACCAAGTTAGCCTAGAGGGCTAACAATACAGTAATAACTGCTCAGTTCTTGTGAAGCAAATTATAGATAAATAAAGTCTCAATTATTTATATAACAGCAGATTAAGAGTGAAACTAAGAGAAGCCAAAACAGTTATATAAAAATTACTGTAACAGTTAAGTTTCAAGGCTGGTTGAAAAACCCCAAGTGCTAAAAATATTGCCTACTTTGCCCTAATTCTATTGTCTCTGCAATTATGTCTTCAGTCTCTGCAGTGACATCATATTTTTCTGTAACTTTCCAACAAATTTGACTATGCAGCTGGATGCTGACCAGATTACAAGACCTCATATTCTCTAACCTGATCTAATGGACTCCTTTTATTTGGGTAACTTATTTTCATCTTTTTGCTTATATCCAGGCTTTTTTTTTTTTTCCCTTCTCTCCAAATTATCTTCAATCCAACTGAAAGTCAATTCCTAGAAATTTGATGCCAAAAATATTACTGCCGTTGTATAAAGAACATCTGAAGCAAAGACTCCTGAAACAGAAAATTTCCTTAAGGGACTCATGGACAGGCCCATCTGTGGCAGGCATGGAAGTATTTTCTCCTAAAGAAAGGCTTAGCAGAGCCCTTGTGGAAGGAGGTCGGTTGAGAGATAGGGATTCTCTCTCTGGTCTTGCAGGAACAATAGAAAAACAGCTGGCAGGACACGGATAAAAGAGATTTCTAGGAAAGAGAGCCAAGGAGCCCTCATGGGGTTGGAGGAGCTCAAGAGAAAGGTAGACTAGCAAGGGTAAAGGACACAGATAAAGATTTCTACGGAGCTAGCTGTTCGGTTGTAGAATCGGGCTTGTAAATACATATCCTGTAAACAGTTCAGAAAATAATGTTGTTGGGATTCAGACCCGGGACAAGCTGCTGAGATGCCTTTTCAACTGAAGCAGACATGGCCTCCAGGCTCTCCCAGCATCCCTTACCCTACCTGTTACAGGGCATGGCTGGCATACCCTGCCTTCTACCCTCAACTCTCCAGCCCAAGGGGTGGACACCCAGAGGCTCTTCACTCTATAATACAAACATTTTGGTTTTTATCTCTTTCCCGTCCTCTCTGTGTACACACTTTTTCTCTCTTTGTGATTCCCCCCACCCCCCCGCTTTTCTGTCTCCCTCTGCATGGAGACTTCACTGAGCCCCTCCTGTGAGGTCACTGAACCACCCCTGAGCTGCACCTAATTATTTGGTTGGACTTGGCTCATTTTGTTGGTAGAAGAACGCTTATCAAAACTTTACCTGACTGAGCCAGCTCGTTTTTACCTCAGCTTATGCCTCTCATATCTTTATTAGTATAAATATTAGGTAATTTAAAAGGATAAATAATATTACACTGAAGAGCAATATGCAAAAAGTAATAAAGGTGTAATCTATAAGACATGTATGATTATGATTGTTGACATTATGTTATTTGTTTGGTTACCTACTACTATATAAAACTACCCCAAAACTTAATGGTTTAAAATCCCACCACTGAGCTGGGTGGGCACGGTGGCGCATGCCTTTAATCCCAGCAAAGGAAGGCAGATCTCTGAGTTCAAAGCCAGTCTAGTCTAAACAGTGACTTACAGGACAGCCAGGACTTGGAGTGACCCTGTCTCAAGAAACCAAGCAGAAACAACAGCCCTACCTTCTCTTACCTAATCTGGCATGTTGCACAGTGCCGGACCCACACTGTATCTACTAGGAACCATTCACTAAGGGCACAGCAGTAGAGCTCAGCAGTACAGCACTTGCATGCATGAGGCCCTATGTTCAACCTCTAGGACAGCAAGGAAGGAAGGAAGGAAGGAAGCAGGCTGGAAGAGTGTTGTAAAAATGCTCACCAGAACCAGAGTCAAGATATCAAAATAAGCATTTTTTTTTTTTTTTTAGGAGGGTCTAATGTATTCCAGACTGGCTTAAACTCACTCTGTAGCAGGATGAACTTGATTTCTGATCTTCCTGCCTCTACCTCCTGAGGAAGGGCTAGGACAGGCATGTGCTACCTCGTCCTCTGCACATTGTACTGGAGACTGAACCCACTGCTTTGTACATGCAGGACCCTTACCAACGGAGCTAAAGCCACAGCCCAAATTAAGTACTTAAATGCTTCCCCGGGTAATGAAAATGTGTAGTGAGAAGGAAGAATCAAAGAACTATGATAATCTCTTAGCTTTCTTCCAATTCGAAAAATATGCATATCATCCCGATTTAGGAAAAAACAAAGAAGCTTTTAAAAGGTAAAATAAAGATTATTCTGTTCCATGAGACAAAAGTCTTTATGTCCTGTAAAACACTGCTGAAACTTAATCTCCAATATGATATTATTTAGAAGTGAATAGACTATGAAGGGAAGCCTTCAAGAACAAGGCTATAGGGGCTGGAGAGATAGTTTAGTCATTAAGATCACCTGCTGTTCTTGAAGAGGAGCTGGATTTTGGTTGCCAGCACCTACAATCAAGTCATTTCCAACCACTTGTAACTTCAGATCCAAGCCATCTGACACCCTTTTCTGGCCTCCACCACACCTGTGCACACGTGGTACATATACATCTATCAATACAAATAACACAATAACAACTTTTTTCTTTTAAATGGGGATTATAAAAGGGATCCCAGCAAGCTCCAGGAAGTAGGGTCCTGACCAGACAATGCTGTCAGCACCTTGCTCCTGGAGAAACTTTTTCTTTTTATAGACCATCAGTCTAGGACAACAGACTGTTATCCTAGACCAAATTTAGGCATTCCTCAAAACCAGTCAATCTTCACATATAAGTACAAGTATATTTAGATGTATATATATATGAATACACAGATGTATATTTTCTAAAGTTTGATAACCTTTTAAGTACTATCAGTGATAAAAGTAGCATCAATTCTTTGAGTGCACTCAGATTAATTCAGGGTTAAGCTCATTGAGAGAGTGCATACCTAGCATGTATGAGTACACACATGCGAAAAATCAACTCAGGCCACCAAAGATAAAAGACCATACACTCCCAGAACCACCCTATACCTTAACTGGAACAGCAGGCCCACCCTTTTCTCCAGCATGTAGCCTGTTTGTAACTGTAACACGGTGCCAAAAGGCACTTTGAGGCCTCTGAAAGCAATATTCCTCTGAAGCTACAAGAAGAGCAAATTTATTTAGTGACAGAGTCTTACTATGTGGTCTTGCCTGGCCTCACACTCAAGAGATCCACCTGCCTCTGCCTTCTGAGTGCCGGAAATAAAAGCATGTGTGTTACTACAACTGGCTGTAAATACAATTTTTGAAAAAAAAAAAAAAAAAAAGTTTATCTTTTTTGCTGCACTAGTGTTAGGCCATGCTAGGTAAGAACTCTACCAGTGAGCTTTATCTTGACGATTATAAGTGTATAAACTATTTCCATTACTACTTTAAATCACTGTAGCCAGAACAGTAATTTTCAAGATATGTACTCTCTGGTAGCCTAGGATGACATGCCCTACAGTCAGCATTTAATGATTCCAATGTGTACTTTATGATCTCTAACATTTTATTCTAGTTATTTTTAATTATCAGGGAGGGTGTCATGCATGTGAGTGCAGCGCCTGTAGAGGCCAAATGATGGCATCAGGAGTTCAGGCAGTTGTAAGCTGCCTGACCTGGTGAGGGATCCAAACTCAGGTCTTCTGAGAAAGCAGCAAGCACTCAACCACCGAGCCATCTCTCCAAACCCTGAATGTGTATTTTTAAAACAAAATTATAAAAAAGATTTATTTGCTCAGTGGCAGAGCAAATCTGGCATACATAGGGATTGGACATCCAATACTCGACCCCACAAGGATTTTACTTGGCTATCAACTCACAGCATCTGGAATGAACTAAAACCCAAGCATCTGAGCACACCTGTGAGGACATTGACTGGGCTGGAGTAATCCTCAAGTACTGAGGTGGAAAGTCCCACCCTAAATCTGGGTCACACCTTCTGGTGGCAGCTTACATAAAAGGACCTAGAAGGTAGTTTTTGCTTTCTGCCTGTTTGCGCTCTCACTGGCAAGTTCATCTCTCCTGCTGCAGAGGCATTGTGTGGCATCAGAACACACTTCTTCAGGATTCCTAATACGCTGAAGACCAGCTGAGACACCCAGCCTATTGGCCTGAACTACTATCAGATTCTTGGCCTTTCCTTCCGGAGACAGCCATTATTGGACTAGACAGATGAGCTGGATAGTTGTATGTCAAATGGTCACAAACTAGAGTCACCTGAGAAAATTAAGAACATGCCTCTATAAGACAGGTCTGCAGGCAAGCCTGCAGGGCATTTTCCTAATTAGTGATTGATGTGGGACGGTTCAGTCTACTGTGGGTGCAGCCATCCCTGGGACGGTAGCCCAGGCTTTTATAAGAAAGTGACCTGACCATGCCAGAAGTGAAACCAGTAAGCAGCAGTCCTTCGTGTCCCGTTCATCACCTCCTGCCTCTAGGTTCCTGCCCTCACCACTCTGGATGACTAACTGTTATATGTAACCAGCAGCGAAATAAACCTTTTCCTAGCCACACTGCTCTTGGTCATGGCATTTTAGGAATTATTATTACTATTACTAATTACTATTCAGGAATAGTAACGCTAAGTCACTGAATCACAGCCCACAAGCCACTGTAATTAATCTGTATATATATATTTTCTGTCATTTCTGTTCCTCTAGAAACCCCTGACTAATATAGTATATGTATACTTGCTACACTGCATGAGAGGATATTAAAGGATGGCAGCTTTCAAGGAGTCAATTCTTCCATTCACCATATGGACTAGGCAATAGAATTTAGGACATCAGGCCTGGCAGCAAGCACCTTTACCCACTGAGCCATGTGGTTGGCTCTCCATTCAGGAAAGGATTTACCAGCAGTCTAGGCTTTTTTTTCTCACCTATGCCATCCAAGGTGAACTAAGCACTAAAAAAGAGCCCTAGGTTTAGAACTCTTACTTCTGTTTTTAAAATGTCAGTGTCTAAGGGGAGAAGAAATGACCATGCAAGCATCAGGACCAGAATTCAGATTTCCTCAGAATCCACATGAATGCCAGGTGGACATGGTGGGCCTCCTGTAATTTCAGCCTTAGATATCAGAGACAAGATCTCCAGAGCATACTAGAGAGAGAGGGGGAGAGAGGGAAGGGGAGAGAGAGAGAGAAAGAGACTAGGTAGGTGTCAAGAAGCTCTGGGTTTGACTGAGAGAGAGACTGTGTGGTTCAATAAAGAAGGTGAAGGAGGACTGAGGAAGATGAGGGACACCCACCTCAGGCCCCCACATGCACACGTGTTCCCACAGCTGTCTAATGTCGCAGCATTGCCTGGAGCTATTAGGTTAATTGCTTGTCCCCCAAGATCTTTACTACTCTAAGAACAAATGCTCCTACATACCAAGTGATGCTGTGGAACCCTGCCTCCAAATTATCCCTGATTGGCCAATAAAAAATGCCTACACCAGGGCAGGGCAGAAGAGAGACAGGCGGAGCTAAGGGCTGGGAGGACAGAAGGAATCCGGGAGAGGAAGCAGAGGGAGGGACAGGTGAGGAAGAAAAAGAAAGGGAGTTGGCATGGGTTAGGAAAGCATGGCCGAGAGGAGCTTGCTCTTAGGATCAGCAGTTGGAGAGAAGCAGTCCAAATGGAAAACAAGGGAAAGTATTCATGGGAATAATGGACGGGGAGTAGCCTAGATAGGAATGACTGGGACAAATGGCATGGGATGTGGGGCTGGGAGGTAACAAGATAGGTTAGGGGGTTAGTTTCTGCCCCGTTCCAGTGTATAGGTATATTAAAAATATAACAGGTGTCTGTCTTTTATTTATATAATAGCAGGATAAATAATAACCATCACAATTATTATATGTAGTAATAGTAGATACTATTAGCCCTTCTATAACAGTCAAAAACATGAACATATTTGAATCAAAAAATACTTGCAAACAGGGACTCCTAACATGCATCCACAGCAGCACTATTCACAGCAGCCCAAAGGTGGAACAGTTCACCAATGGATGAATGCATAAGCAAATCACGTACAGACACCCAATGAGCTATTATTCAACCACACACAACACACAAAAGTACTGACAACTGCTGCCATTCAGATGAGCTCTGAAAATACTAAGTCGAAGAAGCCAAGCACAGAAGTGTGCACTGTGTATGACTCCATCCACACAAAATAGCTAATTCATCCTGGCTTTGAACTTTAATTTCTCCCCAGTACTGTGACTGTTTAAGGGCTTTCTTTGAAGTGATAACGTGGCACTACAGATGGTGGTGATGTGAACATACTGAAGGCCACCAAGCTGTCTTTAGAATGGCTGGATTTATAATCTGCTTATTTTATCTCAATTTCAATTCTTTTTATCATTTTAAATTATGTATGTATGTGTGCACATCTGTGTCTCTGCATATAAGTGCATGTCCCACAGAGGCCAGAGGTGTTGGATTCCTCTGGAGCTGAAGTTACCGGTGGTTATGCATCACTGGGTGTGGGTGCTGAGATTCACACATGGGTCCTCTGGAAGAAGCAGTATATGCTGTTAACCCCTGCCCCAACTCATTCTTGTAACGGCAGTGAATGCCACAGAATTCAAAGAAACTAAAAGAAAGTGGGAAAAATATGTAAAGACTGTGGCGTGCTTGCAAAGCATGCCATCAGCCCTTGATTTGATCCCCAGAACCAGCAAACCAAACCAAACCATCTAGAAGATATAACATGAGCAAGTATATTATATATCAGGGCATGTTACTCAAATTATGCTATTTCAGCACTGGAAAAAAATTCCTGAAGATTTGGTGACTGTTTCAAACAGATTCTGCAACTACAGTAGCAACTTCGTCTAAATAGTAAAGTCTTGTGGCACAGATCAACTTCTAGGAGAGTCTACTTCTATCTGCTTCAGTTAACACAACCAGTTCTGTCCAATGGCACAGTAGGTTCTACTGTTTCCTCTGCCTTTCTGAAAATAATTCCAATGCTTTTTTTCTGTGCATTCTTTTTGCATGAATGCAAGGATCTACCTAAGAGTCCTGTGAGAGGGAAAAAGGGGCCAGCCCACCAACAGAAGCCTTATGTCCTATCACCTGTTCTGCATGTGGCAGTTTCCAATGTCTAAGGCACACCCTGTGACACAGAAGGTAAAAGGACTCCTGATAAGAACCACTCTTTCTGCTAATGCCCTTCTCTTCCGTGTGAGGAAAACTATCACAACAGCAGAACTTACCGCAAAGATCTTTAACAATGTTTTCATGTAGAGCTTTCGGATACCAAAGGAGACTCCAAAAATGGCAGGGACTATGATGAAAACGAGCAGCAGGGTGAAGAGGACAGTCAGGGAGATGCCCAGAAGGTTGACAATCAAGCTATCAAAAGGCAGCAACAGGAACATGGTGGAAGATGCAGGTCAGGCTGGTGCCCTCCTTTCCACACACAAACAAGTCCTTCAGATGGTCCCTTCTGACAGCAAAAGCCTTGGAAAGGCAGCCAGTCCACCACGGGTGACAAACTCCATCTCAAAGTTCATGTCATCCAACTGCCTGAAAACAACTGTGGCGCAGAATAGCAGTAGAAAAGGGTCACACCGAGTGTCTGGGCAGACGAGCGACAAGGGAGAGTTTTCTGTTCGGCCACGTGGCTGCTTCCAAGGCTTTACTTTTCTCCTGCCCCAAAGCATTCAGCAGGTGGATTTGTCCTAAAGATCTGTATTGCCAGAAGTACCAAGAAGAGTTCACTTTGGTGCCAGAAGAACCCTGTTAACTCCAGTAGACAAGGGCAGCTGCTGGCACTTCACACCAAAGGCTTCTGAATGTCAAGGGCTTCCGTATGTACGAAGTAAGTAACCTTTACAATTCCTTCATAAGCTAAACCAAGTTCACTGTAAAGAGTTCATAGCTGGTCCCATGCTCCCTTGGGGGGCTCCTGGTACTGGCTGCCCCAGGACCCTCCTACCAGGAGAGCCCCAGCCTTTGCCAGTAGCACACAGAGGCTGGCACAGAACGTCTCATGCTGCCTGTACCGAGCACTATTCCAGACACGCCTGGCATTGGTGTCCTCTGATAGTCTTCTCCCTTAAGGCACCCTTCTCAGTGGTGACCTGGGTTCTCGGCGAAAGGTTGTTTACATGCTGTCAGGGCTGGGGGTGGAAACAGAAACATCATCAGTCAGACAAAGGAAGGTGAGAAGTTCAATATGCTTCCATATGTGTAGCAAGGGACAACCGTGGTAGGGTGACCCAACAGCCTGCTTCTCTAGTCATCAAGGTCAAGAAAGCAGCAAACAGATACACACACAGGGAGAAGAACGGAGGTTTCCAGTGTTTTCAACTGCAATGAGAACAACAGCAGCCTGGCCAACTTTTGATACTACACATTTTGAAAGGTAAGGGCATAATATAAAATGTAAACCCTTTCTGACTTGTTCCATAGTCACCTAGAGCTAGTTCTTCGTAACAGATCCAACTGTAGGATTAGCTTTGTATTTTCTTCCCAGTATAATTACTACTCACGCAGGGCCAGACAACCAAAATGAAGGCATTGTTAAGAGCACCCTGTTCTTCCCTTTGCTTTTTACTTTGTCTTAATTAACTTGGAAGAGAGCTCTATCAGTGAAAACAGACTCCCTCACACTCTTTGCAGGTACAGTTTGCAACTGTAAGAACACAGCAGGATTAAGGAAATCTGTCCCCTAAGACTAGACACTATTAATTGCACCTTTTTATTAAAAGCTGTAGGGACAAATAATCCTACCATACATGATTCAGTACCAGCAAAATTCCTAGAAATAGAATTGTAGAGAAAAAGAAAATATACATTTAAACTTTTATAAGATATTTATCACATTTCTTTTATAAACAGTAAGTTCTTTCAGTCCACTCACTATAATGGCTGCTCATTTTAAACTGTATTTCAAATATCTTATGAAAGTAGTGCTCACTCCACATTATACAAGTTAACAATGCAGGTTCTGAACTCGAGAGAATTTTATCAAATCTTTCTAGCAAAAAATGTTTACCATGTGGTTCTGTGGGTAGAACCCAGGGCCTTCCTTGACTATGCTGGGCAAGTAGTCTTTAACAGGGTTACACACCAGCCACTGCCAGAAGTTTCTGCTTCCCCAGGACTCACATTTCAGTTCTCCCCCAACACATAGTTCAAGAAACTGAACAACAGGTACTGAGTTTACCACCAATCCTGATTCAAGTTTTATGAACTAACATGCATTATCCCAGGGCTGGCGAAGCAGCTTAGTGGGAAAGGCACCACACTTAAGGCCCTGAGTTTGGTCCCCATGACCCACATGGTATGAGGAGAGAACTAATTCTCACAACTTGTCCTCTGACTTCCACATGCTGTGTACACATATAACATACAAAATAAATGTAATAAAATGTAATCCCATCTGGTTATTTCCTTCCTGTCAACATAGTTTATTTCCATTTTCCAATTACTAAATGCAATGAGGAAGATTCAACCTTTGTTGACAGCATGGTCAAATGCTGAGCACAAACACACCTCTTCAGTGTCACTGAATCACAAATAAATGTTCCCATTTCTCATTACCACTTCTTCCACTTTCAAATTATTGACAATATTTGCCGCACACTTACAACACAAAAGGCACTGAAAGCATCGCCCACACACTGCCTGCACTTATTCTACTAACAACTCCATGCAGGAGTCATCCACTACCCTTCACAAATGAAGACAGTGAAGTTTAGGAGATCAACTGAACCTCCCAGGATCACACAACCTGTTAACACAGCAGAAGGCCAGAAAAGGGACCATCTCTAATCTCATGCTCTTTAGCAATATTTATGGCTTCCTACATTCCAAACTACCCTGAAATAATCAGAACCTCACTTATGCCGGGTGCTATAGGACTTCCTCTAGAGACAAATCTCAGGGCAGATCTGGAATCACATACTAGAATTTGCCATTCTCAGAATCCAAGGACATGTGTGTTTTGTCTTTTCATTTTTACAAACTGGCTAAACTCATTACACATGCCAGATTTTTAACCACATCCCCAAAGTGACTGAATTTGCGTCACTGTGTTCCTTACACCTGTCAGGGCCCAGTGTAACTCAAGAGTCATACCTCCACTCCACTCCCCCTCTATCCTGACCCCTGTTCCTCTTAGCCAGCATTCCCACAAGAAGATGCACCAAGAGCCCTCTGTCTCACTAGCCAAGGTTATGTCAAGTACCATGAGCCCAGCATGACTGTCACATATCAACTCTGACCCCACACATCAAAGTTTTGAACATTCTTCTTTGTATCACAATCAAGTGAGAATTCCCAAGGTTATTCTGGGTTCATGTCCCCAAAACATTAAAATAAACACATGTAGCAACACATTCATTTCTTCACTTAGTTCAGGAGTTGGCCAACCGCACATAAATGACTATGGTTTGTTTTATAAGGCTGTGGAGCTTGGTGTGGCTTTTACAATTTTAAAGAGATATGGAAATATGGATGTATGACAGAGACCATGGCCTGCAAAAGCCTACAATATTGGCCACCGAGCTGTCACAGAAATGGCTTGTAACATCTTTTCTTTCTTTTTTTTTAAAAACTTTCTATGAGAGATAATGACCTCTCCCCTCTTCCTGCCCCTCCTAGAGTACTTGCTCTTGAAAACTGGACTCCAAACCAGAAAACCCTGAACCAGTCTGACAAGTTCTCTGGCAATACTAATACTCATTCGTAGAAGTCAAGGAAACAATACACACACTGCAGTTATAAAATAACTTTCTAACTTTGGAGGATTAGTAGAAATATTAAAGTTAGAAGTAAGCCGAAATATCAGAAAAGTGTGCATTTAGAGCAGATGCTACTTTGCTTCAAGCAACACAAAACATGACCTCTTAAGGGTGTGTGGTAGCGAAGTCATTAATTAGTGTTTACTTAGTCTCTTAGCTTCTCTAGCCAGATTCCTACCAAACACTGAGAATCACATCAACCAAAAGCTTCTCTTCCTCGTGTCCCCCCGCCCCCCCGCTAAAAACCCAACTCAACTGTTTCAGAGAAAAACACAAGAACCAACTTGTTCTGAGTCTGTCAGGAAGGAAGACAGTTTCACTGTAGGCAGAGACAGCAGACCGCTGAGCCAACTAAACTTTTTAATCCCAAGTGGCAAATCTGGGCCTCTTAGGTCTCCAAATGTCCTCAATTACAGTGACTAATTCAATATATGCTCACTAGACAGTATCTGCTGAATATTATTTCACAGTGAACAAATAACCTATAGCCAAGAATCAAATGAAAAAGCAAACACAAAGCCAGTCATATTTCAAACTTTCATGATAGCTGAGTAGGAAAAGACAGGAGTCCCAGAAAAGGCTGGGAAATGAATTATTGAATTCATTTAAAATTCTATACCAGTTCAGATCTAGTGACAGGTATGTGGCAGGGACTATTAACACTCCTAAACACATAAGACATGCTTGCTGTGCAAACCTGATGCCCCAAGTGTGATCTCTGCATGGAAGGAGAAAACTGTCTCCAATGGCTGTCCTCTCATCTCACCTGTCCATATGCATACCCACACATGCACGCTCTCTCCTCCCTCTCCCCCTCCCCCACACACTCAGAAATTAAAATTTAAATTGTTTAGGGATAGATGCATTTTTTTTGTAAGCACACAAAGTATGATCCTTGTCACACATTAGATGGCAATTAAAGTTCATTCTATCCCTGCCCTGCAAGGAGCTGCCCTAAGCTGTAACTGTCAACTATGGATAGCCTTCACTTACACCGTGAAAAGAAGGGCTCCTCTAACTAGACTGACTTGCTGGGGACTGTCATGTTAATCGACACAAGCCGGTCAGTCCACTATAAGTGGCACCATTCCCTGGGCAAACAGTCCTGGGTTTCGTAAGAAAGCTAGCTGACTTCCTCAATGATGAACCGTAACCTAGAAGTGTAGGTCAAACACATCTTCTCATCTGCCACAGCAACATAATAAAAGCAAAGCAGGACTGAAGAAACTCAAGATTATTTTGAGTCTGAACATCAAATTTTAAGTAGTCTTAGAGGGAAAGGTATTTCAAGGACACAAACTCCACAAGCAAAAAGATAATAAAATACAGATTACATTTTGAGCAAGCAGCAAGTACTCAAAAGAAAAATAAGATAACTATAAAACAACAACAAAATATGATTTAAACCTCTATGGTAAACCAGGTGTCGTGGCCCATGCATGTAATCCCAGCACTCAAGAGGCTGAGGCAGGAGGATCGAAGTTCAAGGACATCCTTACCTATATAGTAAGTTTGAGGAAAGCTTAGAATATATGAGACTGTCTCAAAAACCCAAAACCAACCAACCAACAGCACTACGGTAAATTTTACCAAACCACTGTGTTGATGGAAATTATAAAATACCCTCAAATGTCACTGGTTAAAGAGTTAACATGCTATGTTATGATCTCTTTGAAGAATGATTTAGCAACTGTCATAAAGCTTAAATGTGGGTTCCTTAAGTTCAGCAATACTACTTACAGAAGTATATACTAAGAATAAATGAAAGCAATGGTTCTCAGCTAGGGCTGATTTTTTATACCCCTTGGGAACATTTAACAACTGCAGGTATGTCTGTCATCTAAGAATAGGAATACTGCCGGCACCCGGTGCAATGGAGCTGGGATGCTACTATATATGTCAGACACAGGAATGCCCCATAACAAAGAATTGCCTTGTCTAAATATTCATAAGGCTGAAGCTGAAAACTTCATACTACTTAATCAAGTGCAAAAGGAAACAGATGCAGTTGCACTTTAAATATCTAAAACAAAAACAAAAAAACAAAACAACAACAAAGAAACCCAAAAATACAAGGCCCATCGGCAGAAAACACACTGGCACCCTATCTTTTTCAAAAAAGAAATAAACTGGAAGAAAAGCCTCAGTGGTTAAACAAGCTTGCTGTACAAGTATGAGGCCCAGAGTTCACATCCTAGCACACTCACAAGCCTGGTGTCCAGAGCACAACTGTATTCCTAGCTCTGAGGCAGGTAGAAATGCATGGGTCATAGGGATAGCAGGCTTCCAGCCAAGAGGGGAGAGAGAGGAGAGAAAGAGAAGGGAGAGAGAAGAGAGAGGAAAGAGATGAAAGGAAAGAAAAGAAGGAAGGA